GGGCAGATTCTATGGTATGTGAAATTATAACTTAATAAAGCCATTTCTTAAAAAAGAGCTTTAAAGACATCTGCAAATTTACATCAAGGTTATCCACTGGGAAATGATTAATCATTAAAAATCATGTAATACACAGGAACAGAAGCAAGCCCAGAATGATATTCTTTTCCTGGGCTCCTTATTTCCATGAGTTAATGCCTTGACTGTGAAGTAAATAAATCCTGCTTTCAAAAAATTTCCAGACCAAAATTACCCAACAACCTAAGACTTTCAGCTCTTCCTTGTTTTAAATATTCATGTGATGGAGAGTACCCATCTCCACACCAATGTAGAAGAAACTCCTGTCACTCCACTGTACACTTTCAGACGAAACTGACAAGATTTGTGTTTCCTCTGAGGAATGGTAAATCTTTTACTTTTTGAGACAGGGTCTTATTCTGTCACCCAGGCTGGAGTGCAACTGCATGATATAGGGTCACTGCAACCTCAACCTCCTGGGATCAAGCAATCTTCTTGCCTCAGCCTCCTGAGTAGCTGGGACTATACATGTACTACTATGCCTGGCTTTTTTTTTTTTTTTGTAGAGAAGGGTCCAACTATGTCACCCAGGCTGGTCTCAAACTCCTGGCCTCAAGTGATCCTCCCACCTTGGCCTCCCAAAGGGCTGAGATTACACAAATGAACCACCATGCCTGGCCTCTTTTGTTATACGCAATACCCATTATAGAGCTAGTTGTGTTTTCCTGTGATCTTCTTGATACCTAAAATAAGAGTTCAAGTTTAACTTAAAAATGCTTCAGGGTTTATGTAATGCCTATCGATGTTACAATCCTGACCCATTTTCTGTATTTTATTTATTACTCTCAGTATTCTATTTGTATTTTTCCTTATCCTATTTTAAACTCTTTTCATTTTCTTGTTTAACTGTATATACATTAATAAATTTATTTCCTTATAAGCTACACTTGTATAAGGCAGAGTTTTTGAAAATTAATGACCACTGGTTCTATACTACGCAAAATATGCAATGGTACTGATCTCTATAGCAGTTATCTACAAACTAAAAAAAAGGTATCAATAACTTTAAAAAGTCTTTTAAAATTATTTCATATTAAAAATAACCTCTCAAAAAGCAAAATAGTCAGAACAGACACTAAACAGATTAGTGTTTCCTTAAAGTTACAGAAAAATATACCAAAACAACATAAAAAATTACATATTCACGAATAACACAAGCTTTTACTTTTAACAATACAAATTACAGAAATTAAATTCTTTTTTAAAAATGTTAATTCTGCTTACTGTTACTAAAGAAGATGATCATAGTTTTCAATCATTCAAATTGTAATAAAAATTTAAAGATGGGATAACAGAAATAACAGCAAGATTAATAAACAGATGAAGTCCAGCTTACAAATGGCTGAGAACCAAAAGATATTTAGGAAATTAACTGTTCGGAACTTAGAATCTACATTTTCCCAAAGAAACAATGCTATTCAGAGTCGGGATTCTTAAGCTCAAGTATATTACATAATAATCATGTAACAGAGAGAAACCACTTATATTTCTAAATTTCAGAACCTTATCGATGAATTGACACAAGTATCTGTCTTTCTCAAGCTATTCAGGAGCCTGAGGTGGGAAGACTGCTTGAACCCAGGAGGCAGAGGCTTCAGTGAGCTGAGATCGTGCTATCACACTCCAACCTGGGTGACAGTGTGAGACCCTGTCTCCAAAACTAAAAAATTTTAAAATGCTCCCTTTGACACTGAGTAGTCTTAATAATGCTAAATAAAACTAAACATACTATATCTAATTTAACATTTGGGTAACATCATACTATCCCCTAAAGATACTATCTACTTAAACCAATGTAAAGCCAGGAAATAATAACGGTAACAGTAAAAGTAACAATTATAAATAATTATAATTGGTAACATCTGAACCCCTATACTATGTTCTAGGCACATGTATTCTTTCTTTCTTAACAATAAGATGAACAGCAGTGGCTATATGAAGAAACCACTATCATTATCACCATTTTACAAAAGAAAAAATAGATAAATAAAATACTGGCCAGGCATGATGGCTCACGTCTGTAATTCTATCACTTTGGAAAGGTGAGGTGGGAGAATTGCTGGAGGCCAGGAGTTTGAATCCAGCCTGGGCAACATAGCAAGACCTCATCTCTAAAAAAAAAAAAAAAGTAAAATACTTTGTTCAAGAACACAAAAGTTTCAATTTCTAAATCAAAACTAAAAAAGCAAAAGAGGCTAAAAATAGTTGATTTATGGTTGAAACTACTCCCATACCATTATAAAGAAAAAAAGTTTAAAAAACTGATTGTGGCCAGGTGCAATGGCTCATGCCTGTAATCCCAGCACTTTGGGAGGCCGAGGTGGGTGGATCATGAGGTCAAGAGTTTGAGACCAGCCTGGCCAAAATGGTGAAACCCGCCTCTACTAAAAATACAAAAATTAGCTGGACATGGTGGTAGGCGCCTGTAATCCCAGGCACTCGGGAGGCTGAGGCAGGAGAATCGCTTGAACCCGGGAGGTGGAGGTTGCACTGAGCCGAGATTGTGCGACTGCACTCCAGCCTGGGCAACAGAGTGAGACTCCATCTCAAACAAAACAAAACAAAAAAACAAAAAAAACTGACTGTATGCAATTTAAAGCAACTAAAAGGCTTTAAGAAAAATCCCTAAAATTTATAAAAATAATTTATCTTAAGAATCAATAAAGATTTAAAAATTCTATTTGGTTTGGTTTTTGGATGTCTGCAAGATATTTTTGTATTTTACTTTGGTATTTAAATAAAATTTTGGAACAGAATGAATTCAACACTAATATGTTACTACAACCACCACTTAGGTGGGGTCATTTTGAAGTCACTGAAACGACATTAAAAAAATTTTTTTTAATGCTGCTATTTGTTTAACATAGTAAGAAATGGAGTTTTTGAATAATCTACAACATTAACAAGTTAGAAAAACATTTTGAAAAAAGTCATATCTTAAGGAGGAAATAAATTTACTAAATATATTCAAGATTTGAACACCTACACTATTATGATAATTACTTTAACAATTATAAAAAACAAATGCAGCAGCAGCTAACATGTATATAGTATTTATCATATGCCAGGCAGTATAAACATAACAGCATTAAGCCATGTAACTGTAACAACTGGATAAGGTGATACTAAAACAAAAAGATGTCGACTGGGTGCAATGAACTGCAGGCTGCAGTGAGCTGTGATTGCACCACTCACTCCAGTTTGGTTAACAGAGTGAGATCCTGTCTCAAACAAACAAACAAATCAAAAACAATAATAGGAAAAGAGGTCAATAGCTAGTAAGTGATGAAACAGGACTCCTTCTCTCTAGACAGTATAGTCTGGTTTCAAAGTTTGTGTTCCTCATTAATAAGTTATACATATATTTAGAATGAGACAAAAACGAGTAGACAAAATTTTACGAAGATAAGGTAAAACATAATTCTGTGCCCTTTATATGTCACCACGACATTTCCACAGAAAGCAAAATATATGATTCTACACCTCTAGGAGGCATAAATTTGTCTAGCAACAGAAAAAGTACAGTATCAATTGACATTTAAAATGAGACTAGGTTCCATTGAGCTGGAGTTTAAAATAAAATAGAGACCACGTAAACAGTTCATATAAAGTCAGTTATGAAGTGGGTAGCAGATATGGGCATTTTAGTTTGTTTTTTAACTTCAGTCTTGCTCTGAATGTTTTACAGAATGCTTACTGCTGTGTATGAATATTTTTGAGACTGTGTCATATGTCAGATCACATAAATATATAAATACTTAACACAAACAAATTTTCAAAGGATGCTTTTGGGGTACCTCAAAATCAGACTTTTGCAAATCAAACATTAATTATAAGGTTCAGCCAAAAACGTAAGGAGCTTAAATTTGTTACAATGATAAGCCATTTCAAAAGCCAAAGAACTAGTCAGGCATGGGGGTTGTATGCCTATAATCTTAGTTACTAAGGAGACTGAGGTGAAAGGATCATTTGAGCCAGAGTTTGAGACCAGCCTGGGCAATATAGCAAGACCCAAAAACAAAACAAAACAAAAAGCTTTTGGTCCTAAGAAACACTAGCTACATAAGCGTAGATGGACACATCAATACAAACTCATTACTCACCATAAAAATAAAATTTAAAAATTCATGTAAAAGATTTTTAGCACTTTCATAAGATAACCTGTTAATTTAAAAATCACTCAAAGCAAAATATTTAGAAGTTGTATTCTCAAAGAAAAACACTTAACATTTGTTATTCCACACTGCTTTGTGTATATGCAGAGAAAAGTCAGATGAATAAGTATGCTCTTCCAGGAAAAGGATACAGTTTTTGTTCCTCTGACAAAGCCAGTCACACTGACTGACAACCTTAAATTTATACTTAAATTGATACTTATATTTTTATGGGTAAAGTTTTCCAAGTCTTTGGAAGGCTTTTTTTTTTTTTTGAGACAGTGTTTCACTTTGTCATCCAGGATGGAGTACAGTCACATGATCTCGGCTTACTGCTACTTCTACCTCCTGGGTTCAAGCAATACTTCCACCTCAGTCTCCCAAGTAGGTGGGATTACAAGCATGTGCCACCATGCCCAGCTATTTTTTTGTATTTTTAGTAGAGATGGGACTTCGCCATGTTGGCCAGGCTGGTCTCGAACACCTGACCTCAAGTGAACCGCCTGTATCAGCCTCCCAAGGTGCTAGGATTACAGGTGTGAACCACCATGCCCAGCCCTAAAGTATGTTTTTTTATGAGGTTACAATCTGCTATCCATCATTCCAAAGTCCAAAAAGTTTGAAAAATGTTATCCATTTTGCTACAGATATATTGGTTTTGATTAGAGGATGCCTCAGACCCAGCTACTACATTTTAAAAATCCCCCAAGAGTGGTCCTAGGGATTTTGAAAAAGGCTGTTTACATATATTGCAAATGAAAGTGTTACCTGATATTCAGAATCCAATCTAAATGAAGAGTCTCTTGAGTGATAGGTATCATTTAAACTACTTCCTCTGCTTCCAGACATCATCCTAGCACTTAAGGAGCTGGAGGGTTGAACAGAAATTCTTCTTGGAATCCTTGAAGGTTTAGACTCCATTCTTAAAGATTTTTCTGTGAAATGCAAATTTTCATTAATTGCCTTTGGGAAAACATGAAAGCCTTTAATGCTTAATCCTCCCTAATCATGAGCTCAAATAAAAAATTAACCATGCAAATTAACTATATCTGACAAGGTAAATTGTGAAACGATCACCACCTCTCTACTGCAAAGCAGTTCATCAAAGGTTTCCTACCATCCATAAAAGGAAGCAAACAAACATGGTAAAAGTGGCATAAAGAATTCTGAGGTCTGCTTTTTCCAAAATCTGGGCTCTTTCCCTTACTTAATTTTGTCTACTACATATTCTACATGAATTTGTCCTTGACTATCTTGGTATTCTTTATTTTTAGGGTTCAATGCTCATACCTGTTATACTATTTGCATACCTCTCACAAACTTTTCTATGTGTCTGGAAAGTCTATACATTCCCCACCCAATTCTTGGTCATCAGTTTAAACACAAGTAGCTTTCTTCTCTGTATGTTTCCACTTCGTACATACCTTTCATGCTACTTTGCATTGTAACTTGTTTACCCTTCTATTTCCCTGTCTCAACAGTGAATTTCTAGGTCAGAATCATTTAAAGTATTTAAAAATCACTGCCTGGGGTTTAACAGGTACTCAATAAACACAAGTCAAAATGAAAAAATGATAAACTTTTTATTTACCACTCATAGGACCCCTTAATTATAACAAAAATAATAGCAATAGCTGATATTTATTAAGTATTATATGGCAAGATCTGAGAATAAGGACCTTCTGATTATGTTAGTTCATTGAATCTCCAGACCAACCCCATGAGACAGGTACTATATTATCTCCACTTTATAAATGAGAAAACAGGCACTGAGAGATTAAGTAATTTGCACATGATCACAGAGCTAATAAAGTATTTCTCAAAATGTTTTCAAAGATTGTTTATGGTACTACTGGAAAGTGACATTTTAAGTGAAAAGGTCAATCTACAAAACTACACATGCAGCATGATTCTAACTACACAAATAAAATGAATAAAACTTCTCAGGAAAAAAAACCCCAAAATGTTAAATTTATTTTGTGGAACTGAGTGCTTTCCACTTTAAAGTTTAATAATTTCCAAGTTTTCTTCACTAAACATTTCTAAACCCACAACAATTACCTATGAATAATTATATATAAATGGAATTATACAATATTGTGTCCAGCTTCACTTGCTCAATATTATATTTGTGAGATTCATCAGTGTTGTTGCATGCAGTTTTAAGTTCACTCTAATTTCTGTACATAGCGTTCCACTATATGAATGCACACAACTTATTTTCCCATTCTACCATAAATGTACACTAGACTGTTTCCATTTGGGGGCTATAATAAACAGTGCTGCTATAATGACATTACTATGATAAACTAAAAAGCTTTTAAAGTTTTCTAAGGCAAAGACTTACAAAGCCTCTGACTGTATCTCATATAAGTGGAATCGTACAGTATTTGTCTTTTCGTGATTCGCTTATTTTACTTACCCTAATGTCCTCAAAGTTCATCTATACCATATGCCAGAATTTCCTTACTTTTTATGGCTGAATAATATTGCATTGTATGTATAGTCATGCATCACTCAAGAATGGGAATATATTCTAAGCAATGCATCTTTAGGTGATTTTGTCATTGTGTGAACATTAGCAGTGTATATACACAGCCTAGATGGTACAGTCTAATACGTGGACTATATGGTATAACCTATTGTTTCTAGGCAGCATACCTATACAGCATGTTATTGTACTGAATACTGCAGACAACTGTAACACATTGGTAAGTATCTGTATATCTGAACATAGAAAAGATACATCAAAAATAAAGTATTAAGAGTAGTCAAATCAGAGAAAGAAGATTGGTGGTTGGCGGGAGATGGGGAGCTATTATTTAATGAGTATGAAATTTTGGTTTTACAAGATGAAGAGTTACGGGCATAGATGATAGTGATATCTGCACAACATTATGAAATGCATTCAATAATACTGAATTGTACACAAACATGGTTAAGATGGTAAAATTTATTATGTTCTCAGTATTTTATCTGACATGCACCCTCCCCCCCAACTTGCTGTTATAAAGTAACAACTTGCTTTCCAACTACATGCACCCTCCCCCCCACAACTTGTGTTATAATAAAACAACGACTTGCTTTCCAACTACATGCACCCTCGAATAATTCAACAACTTGCTTTCCAACTACATGCACCCTGCCCCCCCAACTTGTTGTTATAATAAACAAGTTGGGGGGGCAGGGTGCATGTAGTTGGAAAGCAAGTTGTTATTTTATTATAACAAGCAAGTTGTTGAATTAAAACCTGTATCTGGAGCAACAGAACCTCAGATTCTTTCCCAGTTCCATTCCTCTAAAGATAGGCTATTTATACTCTGGAAAATAAAGATTTCCTAGGTAACACTCTTGTGTTCTCCGCTCCCCCAACTCCCACACACAATGTACAATAATCTCTGCAGGAGTTTAGGTATGGGTCAGTAAAAGGAATACAAGAAAATATATATACTCAATAATATTGAGACCCAAAGACTCTTTCAAGGTACTGTTTCTACAATGCTGTCGAGAGACTAAAGGCTTCTACTCTTGGATCACCACACACCAGTGATAAGATTTCTGAATGTCATTTGAAATGTTTCCACTTCAAAAGCTAGCCTTCATTAGACCATTCTGTCCTACAGCAAAAGCTGCTGGTCACCTAGAGTTTCTAATCAGGACTTTTAGTGCTTCCCTCTAACTGACAAACATCAAGAACCAACAAGTAATCAAGGAAGGTCTCCAATATGAAAGAAGGACCAAAATAAACAACAACAACAACAACACTTTTAAGATGGTGCAGGGAGAGGAAAATTTGGGGGAAAGGGGCTTGTTTCTATCCTCACAGGGATCAAATAACATTCATCCATAAAATAAGAACAGGATGTGTGAGAATACAAAGAGAGCATAATAAAGAGCTTATGGAAATTCAAAATGCCATATACTTGTTAAAATAAGATACGCCGAAATAAATTTTTTTTTTTTTTTTTTTGAGA